GGGATCCTCCCGAAACGGGGCACGAACCCGCGTCTCCTGCATCGGCAGGCGGACTCTCAAGCACTGCGCCACCAGGGAAGCCCAGGAACCTGTATTTTTAAGAAGCACTCCAGATAAGTTTTACACAGGTGATCTGTGAGAAATAACACTTTAGAATAGTCAGCTCACAAGCCATGCAAAGGTATCAAAATAAGGACTACTGAGTTAAACTCTGTTTACATATACACATAACACACTGGAGGTTTCACTTTTTTTCAAAATCTTCATCCTTCCTGATAGAACATATTAGTACAGATATACACAGAAGCATCTATTTCCAAACAACATACCTCCATAAAAGAGATTCCTAAGCTCCAGACATCAGAATGGATTCCATATTGCTCCCCTGAAATTCTTTCAGGCTGTAAGAAAACAGAAGGGAGCTTGTAGGTTGATGTAAGCTACTCCAGGAAACACATACGCTAATGTGAGCTCAGTTAAGGCAGAGAGCCATCAATATCTGCACAGCACATTATGAAAAGAAAAACAATTTTATATGTATGTGTTTTATATAGATAATACATAGAAACCGTATAGGTAATATAGGTATATTGGATATAATCTCATTGAATCCTCACAAAGACCCTAAGAGGGAAACTTTGTTATAAAGAAAATGAAGGCTCATATTAGTGAAATAATTTAGGCAAGTCCTAAACTAGTAAATGAGCTGAGACTTCAACTCAGACCAAATCCAGTGAGTGGTCTTAGTTGTGGAGTGACAAATTACAGCACGTTATATAATAGTATCACTTATTTGCATTTTGAGAGATGGGTCTGAATCACTAGGAATTGTTATTTAAAATTTTTGATTTGGAAATAATATTAAACTTATAGGAAAGTTGAAAGATTAAGACTAGTACAAAGAACATCCATATTTCCTTTGCCCAGATTCACCTACTACTCAACATTTCATCCCATTTATCAGGGTTTCTTTTTGATACAAACCAAGGAACAGTTCAAACGGCCCATTTGGGACTCCTGGTCCTCCATTCAAGATATGTAGAAAATACTTGGTCTAACAATTACCTGCACACTCTCTACTCCAACAGGAATAATTGCATACTGATGTGGGTGCTGCCTGGTCTCTCTATCCCTCCAGGATTTGGCATTCAGAAAGGTACTTCACAGAAGTCTTTTGAATGAACACAGGAACAAATGAACAAGAGAAACTGAGGTTTTGCTGAGATGGAATGGTTGCTCAAGGTTACACAGCTAGTCACGGCAGGGCTAGGATCATGACCCACACCCCTTGGCCCCCAGTGCAGTATTCTCTTGTTTGTACCATCCCTGGAGTTCTTGGAAGCCACCACAGCCATCATCCTTCAAAAGTTTCCATGAGAGCCCTTACGAGTAACTGGGGTCAGGGTCAGCCTGGTCCACTGCAGACGGAAGAAATGGACATCCACCACTCACCAGCAGGGGATATACCATGAGTACAGAAGATGTGTGCCAGATACTCTCAGGTGAGTTGGCACAGTCCTACATCTTGGGGAGTTGGGACCCAGAACTTTGTAACCTACTTCCCACTCCCACCTATGAGGCTATCTCAATGTATTTAATGCCTTCTCCCCCACTTTTCATAAAATCACATAAAGCCCTACCCTGAGGTAGCAGATTGGATTGTCTTATTTCCGTTCCTTTATTTATTTCTTTAATTTATAAAACCCCTTTCCTACCAAGAATAATTCTTCCCAAGTGTCATGTGACCATTTCTCCCAGCTGCTAACAGATATGGTCATTCCAATCCCCTAATACTTTTCCTTTTATCTTCTAATCCCCCATACCACCACTTTTCAAGGTCCTTGCTCATACCTGAATGAATCCATTATCCATTTCTAGTCAGATCAATACATAATAGGATGCGTTCATATGCAACTGGCCAGCCAGTTACAAGAATAATGCCATCATCATAATATCAACAACGACATCATCACTCTGTGCATTTATTGAAGAATTTCCATGTGCCAGGCACTGTTCTAAGTGCTTTTCATGCATATTTCACTTCAGACTCATAAACAACCATACTAGACTGGTACTATTATCATCTGCATTTAACAGGTAAGGAATATGAAGCACAGAGAGATTTAATTTATACCCCCTAGAAAAGGATAGTAAAAGCTATCATTTAATAATCACCTAGTTTGTCCCAGATACTGGGATAGATACTTCACATCCTCTACACTTCATAACAATCTTACAAATATTATTATTTTAAATTTATTTTATTTATGTATTTTTGGCTGTGTTGGGTCTTCATTGCTGTGTGCAGGCTTTCTCTAGTTGCGGCGAGTGGGGGCTACTCTTTGTTGTGGAGCGTAGTCTTCTCATTGCGGTGGCTTCTCTTGTGGCGGAGCATGGGCTCTAGGCGCGTGGGCTTCAGTAGTTGTGGCTCACGGGCTCTAGAGCACAAGCTCAGTGGTTGTGGCACACGGGCTTAGTTGCTCCGCGGCATGTGGGATCTTCCCAGACCAGGGATTGAACCCGTGACCCTTGCAATGGCAGGCGGATTCTTAACCACTGCACTACCAGGGAAGTCCTCTTACAAATATTGATGCCCTAATTTTACAGATGTATAAACTGAGGCTTAGTAAGATTAGATGACTTGCCAAAGTCTAGAGCTATGGATTAGCATTAAGCGTATTATTTAGGTACACAGCCAGGATTCAAATCCAGGTACGTCTAACTGCAAAATCAGGGTTCTTTCCTGTGTGTCAAACTGCCCCCAGAACTAGAACTAGTTTCGATCTGTCACTATTTCTCAAAATGCAGCCTTGGACTCGTCATTACAGAACTGTCTGAGGTGCTTATTGCAAATGAACTTCCAGTATCAGAATCTCTGGGGGTGGCTCTGGGGATCTTCATTTTAAAAAGTAATTTCTCTGGGTGAACCTTTGGTAAACTCAGCTCTAGTCACTAAACACGTCAATGTTTCCTGCAGACACGATGATCTACCTTCCTCTTCTCTGCATAGTGAATGCCTCTCCTATGGGCCCTACTCAACGGCCACCATTTTTGGTGAAAACTTCCTCCACTCCTCAAACAGAATTATGAATTCCTGCCTCTGTACTTCTTTAAAATGTCATTCATATCTTTCATATTAATTTATCACACTGTGTTGCAGTCATCCGTTTGCTAGTCTGTTTCTCCTAAGAGGCAAAGAGAGTATCTTGCTCATCTTGTACCCAGTACCATGCCTGGCACATAGCTGGTGTGCCATCAATGCGTGCTGACTGAAGGGATGCAATACATGTTTACTGCACATTTGGTTTTAAGCATGAACTAATCATTAAGTTCCCTGGAGTGTTCTATTAATGTAACTTCCCTGCATATTATTGTTATTCACGTCCATCAAGAACTTCTAGGGACTTCCCTGGTGGCTCAGTGGTTAAGAATCCACCTGTCAATGCAGGGGACACAGGTTCAATCCCTGGTCCAGGAAGATCCCACATGCCGCAGAGCAACTAAGCCCGTGCGCCACAACTACTGAGCCTGCACTCTAGAGCCCGCGTGCCACAACTACTGAGCCCACAAGCCACATCTACTGAAGCCCGTGTGCTCTAGAGCCTGTGTTCTGTGACAAGATAAGCCACCGCAACAAGAAGCCTGCACAATGCAATGAAGAATAGCCCCACTCGCTGCAACTAGAGAAAGCCAGCACACAGCAACGAAGACACAATGCAGCCAAAAAATAAGAACTTAAACAGTTTAAAAACGTCTCAAAAAAAAAAAAAGAACTTCTAGCAAACATGAAAATCCTAAAATCCTCTAGAATTGTTAAAGAAATGACCAAATGTTGTCTTCCTCCTTCTGTCCTCTCCCCCTTTCTTCATCCACTAACTGACAGTTATCAATATACAGCACTTCATCTAGAAGTGCAAGACCAACAATAAGGTTAAATATAATCATCACATTTGCCCACTGAACTACTAAAACAAATGTAAACTGTAATGTGAAAATAAAGCACAGAAAAATTAAATTTAAAAAGAAAAATTAGCACAAATGATAATGGTCACAGATATCAGAAGGCAAATAGGAGAACTCCTTAAGGATGAGAGTCTAACAACTTCTCATTAGAGAAATTATTCTTACAGTAAGCTAACAGAATGAGATTACTGTTGTGATGCAGCACTCAAGCACGAATGCTGAGTGAAAGGTGGGCAGTGAGCTCTACAGGTGTATCCTCAAGAATTCGTAGGGACTGGGAAACATGTCCAGGTGGCTGAAACTGACACAGGTACAAGATAAGGCCCAATACATTCTGAATGTACAGAGTCAGGACTTGATGGCCTAAGGCTGCACAATTCAAATCTGTTCTCACACTTGAGGCCAAGGTGGCCTGCTCTGTCCTCTCCCCTCTAAAACCAAACCAAACCAATGGCCAGGTATGACACTACTGAGAGAAGATCTGTGCTGAACATTTTTCTGTTAAAAAGCAAAAGCTGAGTTACTTTCTGACATGACATTTGTCACTAGTGTGGAAAGCTTAATAAACAGAAAACCATGACTCTTGTCTGAAGCACCCGTAGTGGAGTTAAAGGGTTGGGGAAAAACTCTTGTCTGTTCTTAATGAGAACAGTATGGAGTGGTGATGATATAAAAAGCAGAGGATTCTAAAACGGCAGTGGCTCTAAGATGGCATGCACACTCCACCCCTCCACTTACCGCTGTGACTGGGCATTTACCCAGGGCCCATATTTAGTTAACTCATTCCAGAATTGTCTCTATTTATAACACAGTACCCTAGGGTTTACTTGTCAAAAGCAGGACGATACCAAGGTACATCCCTTACCTCTTCCCATAAAGGAACTTCTGCTCAGGGTACTCAGAAAATTAACAAAGTATGCACAAATACTTTAGGTTAGTATGTAATCAAAAAGTATATATCATAAACAATGGGGATTTTTTTAGAAAGCCGGCAAGATCACTGTGTGGGTAGTAGAGCATACTGGTTAAACAAGGATTCTGGAGTCACACTGCTCTAACTCAATCTATTTTCCAGTTCACTAATTCTCTCTTCTGCTCCATTCAATATGCTACCAAATAGTGAGTTTTTCATTTTTATCTAGTAGTTTTGTTTGGGACTTTCTCGAATCAAGTATGTCACTTTAAAAATTTTTGATCTAAAGTCTGCTTACAACTGTTGTTCCTTCATGTTGCTCTGTTTCCTCGTGTGACTAGTTTTCTTTGGCTGCTTGTTAGTTTTTGTTCTTCAAAAAAATTTTTGGAAAGGTTCTCTGAGGCCTAAAGTGGATGTGCCCACCTCAAACAATATTCTCAGCATGAAGCTCCTTTTCTAACTCAGGTCACATATACAAACATCCAGGGTGTAAATCTGTGCCAGAGTTAAGTCTATGGCCACAAC